AGGAAAGGCTGAGGGACTTGGGTCTCTTTAGTCCACAGAAAAGAAGATTGAGGGGGGATCTTATTAATGCTTACAAATACTTAAAGGGAGGGTGCCAGGGGGATGGGAGCAGTCTTTTTTCAGTGGTGCCCAGCAATAGGACAAGAGGTAATGGGCACAAACTTGAGCATAGGAAGTTCCATCTTAACATGAGGAGGGACTTCTTTACTTTGAGGGTGGCAGAGCACTGGCACAGGCTGCCCAGGGAGGTTGTGGAGTCTCCCACTATGGAGACATTCCAAACCTGCCTGGATGCCGTCCTGTGCAACCTGTTGTAGGAGACCCTGCTCTAGTGGGGGGGTTGGACTAGATGATCTCCAGAGGTCCCTTCCAACCCTGACCAGTCTGTGATTCTGTGAAGGTCAATGTTATTATTCAAGCAGTATGTATGAAATTGGCTTGAAATAGAAGACTACATTAATGATCATCAATTTCTAGCCTAATAGATATCTTGTCTTTCTGCACGCATTTTCAGTTTGTCATTTTCAGTACTGTAATGAAATATTTAGCATAAGACAAGTCTTAAATGTTTTAACATGCTTTACTCAATGAAAAGTATATTATATAGGAGCCTGGCCATTATTACGTAACTGTCAGCTGTAGAGCAGGGTATTATTTTGAATAAAAGGCTTTGGAACTACTTAAGCTAACTCCAAGTATATTTCTTACCTGATAATGTTTTAGTGTACCATTAATAAGAAGAGAAGACTGCTTCTCCACCCTCTCTACGACTGCATGAGCAACAGTGTAGTATGACTGAGACCCTCTAGCACTATATTGCATACTGTATTCATCATCCACATCTTGTTTGGCTGTCCTGGAAAGCAGACAAAGAATAAAGGTAAATTCCCCCCAATACATATATTTTTCAATATAGTTAACTTATTTATACAAGCGGTAAAGAGGCAGTAGAAATCCTCAGCTGTGGGAAGTTCACCCTTAAAAGAACGCACATTACTTTTTAAGTATTACACAAGTAGGTCATATCCCTTCTCCTGCAGGTGCATGTCATGGGCGCTACAACAACCAGCCACTCATGGTAATCTAGAGCAAGCTAATTCTGAGACCCCTGATAAGAAATCACCATTCAGGGGCAGAGGGGGAGGAGAAGAGAAAAAGGAAAAAAAAAAGGCAGAATACAAAGCTCACTCAATGATTTGTTTAGCATCTTTCTCAGAAACTTCCTCGCTGTTAGGATCCAGAAGTATCTTCTCATCTGCTTCTAACCTACTTGATTCTTCTTCATCATCCTAGAGAAGATGGAAAAAGGATAGGAAAATGTTGTACTCGCCAATGCAACTTTAGCTAACACTCAGATATTTATTAACAGCTTTCATTGAACAATGCTTTGTACTGACAGGAACCTGAACCAAAAAGTTCAACTGACAGCTATCTTGATACACTGCAACAAAACAAAAAAAAATTATATAGATTAACTAATAGAAAGTCACAACACTTTAAGAAAAAATATTTTCCTTTTCAATGTTCTCATTTATAAAAAACTTACTCTGTCTGTCCTGCTCATAGAGCAGACTGATATTATGCATATGTTTGTATCATATTCAAGATGCACAATACTGTAAGACAGCTTAAAAAAGCTGGCAAGAGCTCCTGCATTCATGCTGGTTTAAGCTTCTGGTTTATTATTTTTTTTAAACAGATTTTTTTTTAATCTTTATTTATAGTTTCCCTTCTAGCTACAGTTGCAATGAATGACAAATGGGTAAATTTTTCAGATTTTACTGGGGGATCTCTAACAATGCTTGAACCATTTGAAGAAAAGGATGTTATGGAACAATTTAAATTCCTAACAATCAACCAGAGCAAAATATTGCTCTATAATATTGCATCTATCAAAGATAATATAAGCAGACAAATGCATGTACCTAACTGTCTTATTACATTAGCCCTATTTCATCCCTACTTAAGAATTACCAAGGAAAAAAAACCCACAAAATGACCCTGAAAACTTCCAAATGCTGATGTGGAGCTGTAAAAATGAAAGTGTATTCTAGCAAATGACCCTAATAAACCGTTGCCATTTTACTGACTCAAAACACCCGAGTCAGAATCGCACCACAATCAATAAAATTTGTCTTTTCTCATCCTCTCAGTAGGCAATACTTCAATGTTAAGACTAGGTAAGCATTGCTTTCTGTAGAAAAGTATTACATAATGGATACAAGACGCATCTAGAAGATAAAAGCTGTTAACTTCATCCAGCACAAAGCCACCATATGTCCTTTACAGAGGTGTATTTTAAAATAGGAACCTGCTTGCCTATTCTGACATGATTATTTCATTATTTTTACTCTGATGATATGAGAGTAAAACAAATTCTCATTTCCCTTCATTCAGATTATCAGGTAGGCATTTACAGCACATATAAAAGACATGCTATGAAATGAACATCACTGCAAAAAGGATGTATGTTGCTGTTTGCATTATGTTTAAAACAATTAAGACGCTACTGCTTTTCTTCAAATCTATGAAAAAAGGAACACACAGGAAAATAATGTGGACTTTGCTCTATTGCACTACTAAAAATGAAATTTGAAGAAAAGCATACCTACCTCCTCCTCATATTCAGAGCCACTTTCATCTTCACTGTCTGACCTGGGAGCAACTTCATAGCTGTACAGAGAAAACAAAAGAATATGAATTAGAAATACAAAAGGAGGAATGGAATAGATTCAATACATTTCCTACTCAACTTACAAGTAATAAATTAAAAGGCAAATGGAATAAATAAAAAAGACAGTTTCATCAAAAATAACAATACAGTTGACGCCCCCCTAATAATAAAAATGCCCCAATGGTTTGCTAGCTACTTACCCAGGGTTCATTTCCAACCAAGCATCTAGCTGACTTGCTTTTGGTGCTTCTGGTCCAAGAAGAACTTTGCCTGTTTCAGTGTGAGTCACTTTGACTGGAAGGTCACTCATCTGACTGCTCTCATCTATGGGCTAAAAATTCAGATGAATTTGCCACAGTTAATGGAGAGACCGAACAGCAACTGAAAGTTATGACTGAATAAGTTAATGTGTTACTGAAGCCTCAGCTTCCCATAACGCTACCAAGTCAACACTAAGTCACAGTATTTCTGTGTGTAACATATCTCTACATTTAATATCCACACATGTATCACAGTATTCCAAGTAAATGAATGAGAGCAGTGTGGAAAAGAAGTAACTTGATCTCTCAGAAAAAAGAGAGAAAGTATATTATGCTTACAGTCCTTTCACTCTTGCTGCTTATACTGATGGAGATCTGTAAGAAGAAAAAACATTGAGCTTTAAGCCTTTTTCTTTCTTTATGGATGAAGAAATGGAGCTATAAGATTTTAATTAACTTTTAAAGTAAAGAAAGCCTAGCTAAAGATTCGCTGTCCTGACTCCCTTTCACTTACTCTGGTGCTCAAACAGAACAAAATTATGTCTCTGATGCTTCTTTGGCCTGCTCAAACCACAGATTTTCTACTTTACAAACTATTTTGTCTAAATATCTTCTTTTTAATAATAATTGGCACAATAAATAACTCTTT